AGAAGCTGGACTAAAACTGCTAATCCTGCCAGCAGGCTTGCCCAAATATGCTCTTCCCTCTCACACAGACAGCACGTTAAAGGTGCCCTGTGGAAAAACTTATTTACAAGCATTAAATGTAAGCAAAAGACAGCACTGGAATTACTCCACAGTCCCAAAAGAAACAAAGGACACACTGGCCCGTGCTAAACACATTTCTGAGGATATTTGATGGAAGATGTTTACTGTTTGTTTAAGTTAAAGCCTGGCACAATGTTTTACAGTCCAGATACAGGTTAGACAAATAATGGGTCTCGGGAGTCTGGATAAATTATGTTCAAAAACAAGGGAGAGAGGGAAAACAAAACAGGCTATGTGCTCTTCTTCTCCACCAGTTGGCTTTGGTGCACCAGAAGCCAAAAAGCCCCATGTTAAGCCTGCTCAGACACAACAGCCCGCCTGGAAACGAGGAAAACAGAGCAAAACCAGAGACAGAAATCAGGAATTTCACCGTCTCCTCTGCTGAATTGTGCCCTGCAACACTCCATGGGCGTGCAGAAGTGATCCTCCACCTCTGCCTGTTCCTGAGGAGATGGGGCTGGCAGGGAAACAGCAAGCAGAGGCCTCCCTCCCCCTCTGCTCTTCCCCACCAAAGATCTGCGAGTTATTTACATCCCAGATCCTGAACTCCCCCTCCACTTTCACAGCTTGCAGCAAACTCTGCATCCTGCTGGAGATAACACATGTTTAGCTTTCAGCGTGTTTAGGCTGGAACCCCCTCTGAATGTGAGGCCGGGTCAGCAAACCCACAGAGGGGAGGATTTCCAGCTGCTGAGACTGGCTGGGAAATAACACACCAAAACAGGAGGCTCCATCTCCCTCCACCACCCTGGAGAAATCAAACCTACTCAGTGAAGGAGACAACTAAACAGCTTGGCAACGCCTACAGCTGGTGCTCAACCTCAGATCCAGTGAAAAGATGTAAATATTTAGATTTCAATTTCATCTGATATGATAAATATAAAATCTCTATTTCCTGCTTAAAAAAAAAAAAAAAAAAGAAGAAAAAAGCAGCATTAAAATAGGTAAGCCACCCACATAGAGAACAGGATTCTGCTGCATTTCTACCTTCAGGAGGAGCCTATTTAGCTTATGGTATTGATCTTGAAACAAATTATAACCACAAGTGAAATTATTCCCATTGAATTGTCTTCTGATGTATAATAAAACATAATTACACCACATTTATATACAAATACATACACGAAACTGTTCTGCTGTTCATTCCAAACACGCAGTGGCTGATGGCAGCCCCTTCTTTTTTTACCTCTTACAAAATGCCCATGCAGAGGTAACTCTGACTCTAATCCAAATATCTACCCCATGTCCCAAAGCAGACCCTGACTGAGTAACCCCCAGGCAGAGCTGAACTGCTGTTTACCAGGGCTGTCCTACAAAAACCTGCAGTCCTTCCATAACCTTTTAAAGCACATAATGGAATTAAGGCCCCACCACGAGTCCAGAGTCAGGTCACGCACATTCCAAACTTCTTTGGAGCCGGAGATAACGCGGCCCCGCCCCTGAAGATCCAACACAGCCCTCAAGGTGCTGATGTGATTACACACCCCCCACCCTCCAAACTGGTGCAGAGAAATGCCTCCTCGGGTCACTGCTCTGGGGGTTAAGTCAGCTAATGTGCCTGAATTAGTGTCCCCAGGCTCCACGGTCCTTATGTAAGTGCCGGCAATCCAAACAAATCAGATGAACTTCCCTGCCCATTCCAGGAATCCCCGTGTCCTGTGAAACTCTCAGCAGTTCATTCACTATTTTCCTCCTCACAGTTCACCTCCGTGCCCAGATGTGCCTTCCCAGCTCACATCAAACTACCTCTTGTTCCTTAACTGGGTTGTCCAGACCTCTGTCCCCTCCCCCTGCCATGACAAGACTATGGAAACTGGTGGAAAACCCAGGGAAAAATCCCAGTATCTGGTCTGACAGGAGACTGAACTGTTTAAAAAGGTCCAGAAAAGAATGAGTGGCAAATCACTTTTCCTCATCCCATCAAAGGATTCTCCCCAACTTACCCAATACCAACAGTTTTCCCACCAAGGAGAGCTCCAAAATTCCTGCTCCCGACATCACAGCACTCACCAGGACTGTCAAACCTGTGCTGAGTCCTCGCTGTCCAAGACACTGCTCAGGTTTGGGGACCTTTTTGTGGGAAAATTCAATCTCCACAAGGACACAGACTTCTGGATGTTGTAGATCTTCAAATCTGTCTGATATGGAGTTCTCAAGCACCACCCTCAGAAAGGAGAAGCCGAGGATCAGCCTTTGCCACGGGAGGCTTTGGGAAGCTCCAGGCACTGCTGTGGGTGCCACCCTCCTGCCTGGAAAGCCTCGTCCTGCCCAGCACTCCTGACTCACCCAAGGTGTTTGCTTTCTGTCCCTGCCCTCCTGTGTGCTGGCATGTGCATCCTGCCAGGCTCCAGCCCTGGGAATACCAGAGCAATGACCCCGGAACCGTCACTCCTGCACTCCAGAGCCGTGCCAGGTTCACGGCTGGGCCTTTCCACACCTTTTCCACACCCTTGACCTGGGCTGCCTCAACCACCAAACCCCAGACCCCCGCTATCCTCGTTCCCTGCACATGGAAGCCCACATGCAGCAGATGCTGTTTTCCCTCTTTTCTCCTCCTGGATGGTCTCTCTGGGATCGACTCCGATGTGCCCCAGCTCATCGGAGGTTTTAGCTCTGTGCTGCCTGCATTTCTCCCCTGCACCCACATTTGCTCCAAAACAATTTACCTCCACTTGCCTGAGCAGCCTCTCATTTCTTCTCACCTGTGAAGCCCAGCCCTTTGTCAGACTCACTCAGGAAGGGCAGCAGGAGTGGGAAGCAGCTCCATCTCCAGATCCTGCCATCTCTCAGGAGGTCCCCTGAGCCCCCCCCAATCCTTCAAAATTAAAGACGCTTTTTTCCCAACCGGTTTTTAAGTTGCCAGTGGGATTTACTGAAACATTTTGCTGTGAGCTTCTAAGAATTTTTTTCTTTTTTTTAATTAAAAAAAAATAAAAATCACCATCAAAGACAGTCACACCAGCAAAGCCCCTTCCCTATGGAAAACACACCAGCCTGACTTCAGGAGCTCTGTGTACTCACTCTGATTAAAACTCCCCGTAGTGTCAGGATCTGGGTCAGCCCCAGGCTAAATTGCTTTCTTCCTCTTACATTAAGAACATCCAAATATCATTCATTACTTTGCTCATTTAAAATTTCATAGGACTCTTGGCATGGGCACCACGACTAGAGAAGCCACGTTCCCTTTCAGTCCGTGGGTGAGCTCAGACAGACTCTGCCCCAGCACAATCTTGTGGCATTTGGATTTCCTCCAACACCCAGGAAACAAAGTTATAAATAAAAGTGGTTTATTTATTCCCTCCCCCCCCATTAATTACTCCGTTTCCATTCACACTCAATACTTCAGAATGCTGTGATTTCTAAGACGTTTTCAGGCTCAAAGTTGAATTTAGACATATTTTACTGATGGGGGGGGATAATCAGAAATATTAATTGCATCACACCCCGCATCAGCCAGCTTTAAAATTAAATGAGGAGCCATCTTCACCATTTAGAGAAACTGCTTTTTCCTCCTAAGAAAATAAAGAGATGAGAAATACTGGTCTGGTTTTATTCCCCTCTCTCAAATAAGAGGAAGCCTAAAGGAAAAACACTTCAAAAAAAAAAAAAAAAAAAAGAAGCCAAAAGTGTTTCTAGAGGGATCCTGCTGGTCCTGGAACAGGACATTACGGTGAATATGCATGAGAGGCATGAGTCAAACTGCACTGGGGAGCGAGCATCAGCTTTCACTTGCCATTTTCCAAAGCCTTCCACTCAGGCTGCCAAGACAGCAACTGAACGACAAGATTTTTCACTTCAACGTCGGGGGGAGATTACAGCTCTTTAGGACTAATTGGAGGAACCTTCTGTAAGTCAGCTCACTTGAAGAAAGAGTAACAAATTGTGAATAAAACCAGACTAATTATTTCAATTCAAATGCCTTTTAGCCCCACTGCCAGTTATAAGTTTTTGAGAATTTCTATTAAAAGTAAAAAAAAAAAAAAAATCAGGGCAAGGTCTTTCCAAACTGGTTGCTGTCAAGCAAAATGAGAAGTTAGATCAAACTCCCCCGTGCCAGCTGGTAAATCACAATAAATGCCCGGGCTGTCAGATGCACAACAAGCGACAAACGCGCTGCCACACACCAGCAAACCCAAAATAGACGGGGTATTTTAATAAGGAGTTATCATTTGGGGGAAGGATCCTCAGTAAGCTCATCAGAATCAAAAGTCACACACTGAGGAATACTTATCTTCCTCTCCTCAGCTGAGGAACGATCACCAACGAGCTGAGTTCCGTGAGGCTCAGGGCGACTGTCAGCCTTGCAGTTCACTATTTAGACACCACTTAAAACCTTTCTGCCAAGTTCCTTAAAAAAAAGATACCCTTAAAGGATACCAGGGAGTTGTTTACTCAAAGCAGCATTGTTTCCTGAACACAGATGCAAGAAAAAGTTTTATTAAGAAGATAAACAGCTGCTACTGTACACGGATTAGATGGTAACAAAAGCATCTAAGGGCCATAAAGGGAATAGGAAGGGAATTAAAAAGCATTTTTATGCAGGAGGATGGCTAACATCTGTGCGTTCATTAAAGTGGTATCAACCAGGCTTTTAATTAAAAGTTAGTGACAGAAACTTAAACGTGATTAATGGACCCAGCAGCCCACCAGAACTCTGCTCCATCAAAGGGAAGCGGCACAAGCGGCGTTCCAGCCCTCGCTGCTCGTCTCTCTTTCCCTCCCAGAGACGCTGCCACAACCAGAACACGCTGCAAGGACCACGAAGCAGAATTCCTGAGAAAAAACAGCAAGCCAGGACAAGTCTGCAGCGGTGCTTTCACGCCTGGCCGTTCTTTATTTTGTACGTCCCCCCTGAGCAGACGTTTCAGTCAGCGAGTTACCTGTCAGAACAGCCAGGCACTCCATCCATCCATCCACCACCCCAGGCACGGGGGCTGCCGAGGGAAAAAAAAAAGAAAAAAGAGGGAAAAAGGCTGCCCTACAAACAGCAAGTCTCCTATCGACCAGTGGAAAACAAGCCGCCCAGGAGCCAGCGCTGAACTCTGTAACACAGTCAGGCGTCTTGTGTTACTCGGGAGCGCAGTCACAGCCCCGACACAAAAATAAACCGCGGGATAAAAATACAGCGGCAGCAGAAAGGTGTGGGCAGGGAGCAGGATCGGGGAGCCATCGGAGGATAAGGAGCCCCCACAGACACAGGTATTCCCACACGCACCCAGAGCGCACGTTCAAGTCCTGATGTCCACAAAGACTGATCCGCTGCCGCTGTCCTGCTGGACCGCTGGCGTGTGCAGGGCTGAGCACACACACAGATTGTGTCCTCACAGGCTGAAGGTGCTCCCTGACATCGCAGTGCCCACCAAGCAGCTTCCAGACACACAGGGCACACAGGAGACGGAAGTTCTCACTTCAGAGCAGGTACTAACACAGGAAGGAACTTTTTTTTTTTCCTTAAATAATTCAAATAAACTTTGCCTCTGTCACAGCATTTTAACACAGAAGGGGATAATGCTGACTTGTGAGGCTGACTGAGCAGGGCAGTGCTCTGAGGAGCTCCCTAAGGATGCTCCAGGCTGAGCACCTCTGTGCACTCTGTGCTTCAGCTCCTTTAGTGGAGTGAGAGAGCCTGGGGAGGAGGAGAAGGAAGGGATTTAACCCTCCCACAGCTGGACAAAACGCTGGGGTCGTCCACGCTGTAGCCACGAGGCATCAGCGCGCTCCAGGATGGAGCCCAGGGTTGTTTGGGAGCATCAGGCAGGACCTGTTCTGCCAAGGGATGGGGAGGCCGGGAGAAGAGACTGCCGGGCCCAGCAAAGAGAATCCCCTCTCACAGCCCATCATCCACCTCCGGAATGGGCATCCTGCGCTTTCCAAAGGGAAAAAACCTCTTCCTCCCACTCTCCCAGAGGGAGGCACTGCCTCAGGAGCACGGCCGGTTTCCAGTGAGGAACCAGAACCACCCAGCAGTTCCCTGAGCGCAGGGGGATCTCGAGCCCCAAAGCCCACGAGGTTCTCCCTCCGCTGTAGGGAGTCAAAGCTGTTTCTCTGTGATGCTGCTGCGGGTCTCACCCTCTTCTCCCACCACAGGGACGGGGAGGTCACCCCGGGCAGCACCTTCACCGCTCCCCACGGCCCGGCCTCGTCCGTGGGTCTCTCGGGGTGACCACACGACAAACCCGCCCCCGGGGCCTCTGCCAGAGCCGAGCCCGGGGACATCAACCCCGGGAGATGCAGGAGGAGGCCGGGCCGGCGGCTCTGCCGGGGACGGGCTGGTCTGGCCCACGAGCCACGACCGACCCCAAATGCTCCCAGCGCCGTGACCCGGCGCGGAGGGTCCCCGTCTGTCCGTCTGTCCGTCCGTCCCCGCGGGCACAGCGCGGTGTCCGCTGCCACAGCCCGCCGGCGCAGCGAGCACCGAGCGCGGCGGTGTCCCCGCCGGACCCGCACAGCGCGGGGCTGCGGGTGCCGCTGAGCGGGACCGGGGCGCTGCCACGGCCGCGGGGCCCTCCCGCCCACCGGCCGCTCCACCGGGAAACTTTCACCGCCGCATCCCGGGAGGGGACGGACCGCCCGGCCCCGTTCAGGCCGCGGCAGCCCCGAGGCAGCAGCGGGGGACCCTCCGCGGCCCGCGGGGGCCGTTCCGCCACCGCCTTCCCGGGGAGGGGCCCCCGCGCCGCACCGGCCCCTCGGTGGAGCCGCCGCCACCGCCCGGCGGGCCCGGCCGCCCCCTCCAACCCCCCGCGCTGCCCCCGGGCCCGCCGCGGTTCCCGCCCCCGCCGAGGCACCGCCAGGTGCCGGGGCTCGCCCCGCCACCCCCCGCCACGCACCGGCTGCTCCCGGCGCGGCGGCCGCGGCTCCCGCTGCTGCTGCTGCTCCCGCTGCTCCCGCTGCTGCCGGTGCTGCCGGTGCCGCCGCGGCTCGGCGGTTGCCGTTGCCTACGGGTCGCTGCCTCTGCCCGCCGACATCGCCCGCGCGCCGCTCGCATAATCCCCGGCGCGGGCGGGCCGGGCGCGGGCAGCAGCAGCAGCAGCTCCTCGCCCGCCGGCGCTGCGGGGACGGCGGAGGCGGGGTGGGGAGGGGGGGGAAAGGAGAGGAGAGGCGAGGCGGGCGGGCCGCCGCAGCTGCGGGGGAGGGGGGAGCGGACACGGCGAGGAGCGGGCACGGCGAGGAGCGCTGCCCCGGCACGGCGGCCCCGCGGCTTTCTCCGCCCGCCGAGCCGAGCCGAGCCGAGCCGAGCCGAGCCCCGCGCCCCGGGAGCGCCGGGAGCCGCCACTTCCTTCCCCGCGCCCCCGGCGCTCCCGCAGCCGCGCGGGCGGGGCGGCGGCGCCGCCTGGCGGGCGCGGCGGGGAGTGCGGGGGCCGTGCGGGGCTGCCCCGGGCCCGGCCCGCCTTGCCCCGCTCGCCGCCCTTCGGGGTCGGCGGGTCCCGACCCGCAGCACGGTCCCTGCGCTCACCTGGACACCCCATCCTCCCCCAGCTTCACTCCCCGCAAAGACTGGGGACAAAAAAAATATCTCCCAAAGTTTAGCGATCGCTTTCTTCAGAAACCGCAGGAAAAAAATTTGCCGTGGCAAAACCTCCTGGTTTGATTGTTTGTTTTTTCCAGGATTTATCCTTCCAGCGCTTCCGTCCCTCTCTGCAAATGCAAAATACTCCCCGTTTGTTTTGTAAACGTTCCCTGCATTGCTACAATAAATTCTAGTTCACATCACAGTTCTTTTTAGAGACAAAGTTCCCCAGTGCAAGGCAGATTATACCCAAACCTATCACTACTATTTTTTTTTTTAATTTGCTTTCTAGAAATGTGATCAAATGGAAATTTTATTTTCCAAAGCTTAAACCTCAGAGCTGAAGGTGTTGAAATGTTTATTATCACAGAGAAAACTATGCATGGGAGTGTCTTGCAAGGGCAGTGCGAGGCAGAGGAGAGCCTGGGGCTCCGGGCAGGACAGTAAATGCCAACATAGCTGGGAGATGTCAGGTGAGAACACAAGGGGAAGATGATTCAAGTCATTCACAGAGGAGGCATCAGCTCTTCTTCTCTGGAAGTGCTTATTTATCCCCAAATAGGGAACAAGCCAATTTTCTCATGTTAAGGGGAAGTTTAAAAGGGATTTAAAAAAAAAAAAGGACAGTGTCCAACAAAGGGCACGGCCAGCACAGTCCTGGTTCCCACAGTAAACACTCTCCTCGTGTCCCAGTTTTTGGTGCTTCGGGTGTGATTTTCAGGAGCACTGAGCATTCAGGCCTCCCACTGCTTTCATGTGGAACTGCAGAGCCTCTGCCCCTCTGCTGAAACAGGCCAGAGGCACCACACTGAGCAGGTATTTCAGAAGGTTGTCCTACAAGTTTACCAAAAGCAACACTTTTTTTTTTTTTTTTTTTATCCCCTTCAGTGTTATAATAGAACAGAAATAGCTCTAAAAGAGCTCCAACAGATGGAGGAGGACTTTTGATTAAAAAATAAATTGTGACTCACGATTCAGGTTTCTGGATGTAATAGAAAAGGAGTCCATGAATATGAATAGTGCTGGAAAGAATAGAGTGGAGATGAAGGGAGGTGAGAGGGAAAGGCACTGAAAGAGCTGAGCTGATTTACCTCCCTGCCTCTGATGTCTGTCAGGACAATTCTTTGGGTTTGCTGTAGCACTGATGAAAGAAAACAAGGCCAGCAGTGGACTCAGGAAATTTTCCTGTGATGGATTCCTTGGAAAAATGCTGCTGGCTGAGTGGTACTTCTGAAGAATACTTTCAGATTGTGCCTGTTGGTACCAAAATGCTGGGAAACCTTTGGCTAAATAAAGCTGAGCAGGGAAGTCAAGGGTTCTTTTTTCCTCTCTCCCACCCCTTCTAAGTAAAAATTACCAGGAAGAACATGGAATGACATAAAAATGGTGCCTGTCTTTGTGGAGACTGGAAATATATTTAAGGAAGTCATGTCCATGCACTCAGACCCGATTTCTCCATTTTAGAAAAAAAGGGGAAATGAGTAATTAAAACAGCTCTGGTTTTGTACTGACAGGACCCACAGGGCACAAAAGGGTTGCAAAAACCACCAGATTTTCAAGACTCTGCACGGGTAGGACAGTTCTTCGTGAAAAATCTGAAACCACAGCACTCTAATTTTAGAATCAGACCTTCTCAAGCTTCCTTTGTGACAGCTCTTCTGGCCCTGTAATCACATCACTGGTGGCCAAACATCTTGAACAAGGACAGAATTCGAACCCCACAATAAGATTAAAACCTACATTATGGCTGATGTAACATCCCAGAACCTATTACTGTACTGGAGGCAGGAGGAAAAGAATCTAATTAAACATTTATTTAATATTAAAATACAAACCAAAGTCAACTGGCAAATCTGGATTTTTCAACAAGAAAAATGCATTTCTGTTCACAGACACACGAAATGGCCACGGAATGGGAACACTGGCACAGGGAACCAGGAACTTCAGGGAAAGGAGATCCAGTCCTGGAGAGTCAGCTGAGCTGTTCACTGGGAGACAGGGAGGCTGCTGGCAGGTGAAGGGTTCAGCTGGGAGGATTCACCCTAGAACAGCAGTTCTCTTGAGCACGGGTAACTCACGTTGCTTTTTGCTGTATTCAAGTTCAAAATCTCCTCTTGGCTAATATTTACATCACAGCCTTCGATATTTATAAAATGGTGGAGGAAAACCAAGTGCAAAAGGGCAACACTATCGTTTTCTGAAAACAAGCTGCCTTTTAGTTCCTTATTCTTATTATAAATTCAATATCACTATTTAAAAATAATTAATATTTCTAAAAATATTACAATACAGGATAAACGTTGATTTCTCAGGTGTAAGAAAAATATGTTTAAAATAGAGGTGGCTGTTCCCAAGTACAAAATATTGCTGTTTGTAAAGGGTAACATGGTTGTAAAACTACTTTGGAGGGCTTATAAAAATACAAAACAATTTGCATTTACCGAGTGCATAATTATATATTAGTGCAAAAAAAAAAAAAAAAAAGAAAAAAAAACAGCCAAAAAAAGAAAAGAGCATATTTGCAGTCAGGAGAGAAATTGTCAGAGATTGGCAGAGGTCCGTAAAACATGGAATCTTTTCAGAGTCATTCTTATCAAGCCCAAATCCCTGTTAATTCTTTCCAAGCGATCTTCCAAGGCTTCCTAAAAGGAAGAGTTAAAGAAAGGGAAAAAAAAAAATTAGTAATATAAAAAAAGTCCATGATCCTTCTAGAAATTAAGAAACTCCTGTTTTTCCTGGTATCCTTTTTGAGGCATTATCACTATTCTGTTATCACCCAAAAACCAGAGCCAGACCTCCACACTTTCCATCTGATTTTTATGTGTGTATTTGGAGGTTGTTGGCTTTTTGTGACTTAGGAAAGTCCAGGAGATAAAGTTGACAAGAAATGGGACAAGCTGACAATTAGGGAGGCACATTTAGCAAAGAGCTGATCACTACAGTGAGTGGCAGTGCTGATGTTTTAATTTCAAACTGATTAATTGCTAACCAGGATTAGAATTTAGGAAACGCTGAAGTTGGGAGGCTTCACAGAGAGCTTTAAAACACAACTTTGAGACACTTGTTTCTATTAAAAGAGTCTGCAGAGCTTCCCAAAGAAGGCATTGTCCTGTAGTCCTCTTCCACTATTTATTTTTACCTTCTTACTTATATTTACAAGGAGACAAAAAACAACCAAACAAAACCTAAACTTTGCAATTTCTCCTACAGCACAACATCCTCTCCACAGTTTCAGGGATCTATTCCATAGGAACTGCACACTGTTAATTTATTGCCTTTATCTCTCAGGGTTATCACAAGAACAGACTATTCTTGCAGCAATTTGGCAAAATGCATCCCATGTACAAAAAATAGAGGATATAAACAATATAAAACAATAACATACAACCCAAAACCTGTATAAAAACTGCCACAGAAATCACCCCACACAGCAGAACTTTCCTCTGCGTATTCCCAAATTGTGGAAGAGCAATTTAACCGGACAGTCAGATGCAGGAGCTTTTTCACCTGATTCAGTCTTGCTTGTAAGGTCATTCTTCCCCCAGAACAAGGAATTCGACTCAGTGCAGCCTCAATCTAATAACAGAAAACACTTCAGCTGTAAATGAGAGTCTCAAGAGCCAATCTGAGCCCTCCCAACTCCTCTTACAGGAGGAGAGCTGAGGTGGAGGGATTACTGATACAGGCAGTTTTGGCCTTTATTATGGTCACAGAAGTGAGTGTTAAAGTGCCAATGCCCACTCACACTGTTTGCATTCCAGTGAGTGTCCTTCAGTGAAATGAGGGACAGAGAAGGTCTGGAAGTGGAGCAGGGAGGGACAATGGCCCATTCCCAGCGTGACCCTCAAACTGTGCACCGTGTGGACACCCAGCTCCCTCCCTCCCCTCTCATACAAAAACTGTTGTTTTCTCACAACTCAAAAACAAAAAAAAAAACAATCTTTGCCTGTTGCTTTTCTTGAGTCAGCTCATCAAAAAGCCTCTCAGTTTCGGCCAGAGTCGTGATCCTCGCCGTGTATTTGAAATCCTCCTCGCCGGGCGACGCCGCCCGCTCGTGGATCGGAGCTGAGCTCCCCTCGTCCCGAAGCGCCGCCTTCCTCGCCCCGCTGCTGATGGGATCAGCACAGGAGCTGTGCCTGCCACCTGAGTGCTGCCTTCCTGCCAACAAAGCAGGGGGGGTTTGGCATCCTTACCTTTGTCATTGTGTGGGAAACGATTACACAGGGCAGAGAAACAGCACAAGCAGCCTGATCATGGTGGTGTGTGAACCACGGACGGTGAAGCAAAGCCTCGGTCCCCTCGCCTTAAACAACTTGCCAGAAGAATGCAAAACATTTGCAGGGGTCATCTTTCAAGTGATCTTCGTAGCACAGCATATTTTTTTGGCTAGCAAACAGATTCGTCTGTTGTGCTAATTAGGAATTACTTCCACTGGTGCATTTCTAAATATCAGCAAGCAGAGCAGCTGTCAGGCAAACACCAGGCTAAATAAACGCATCAATAAATAAAAACAAGAGCAGAACGTTGTGACAAGGCTTAGGAAAGCGAGGAAAGATTTGGTTCAATCAATCATTTAAAAAAACCTGACAGAGCTGGTTTTATTACTCTTTGCTATCTGTAATGTTTAGCAGCAGGATTTTATTAGTGTGACTGAGGTACAGCTCGATTCAGACCCCCCTTAGATATGCACTGGATAACTGAGTTAAGCCCGGGGAAATGTGTTGTCCTTCTTCCTCAATTTAATTATTATTCTTGTTCTGCTGTGTTTGTGCACACACACACACACACATCAAAATAAAATACTGGATGGATGGTGTATCTCTGGCTCCAGGGACAAGACAAGAGTTTTAAAAGGGGATTTTTAAAAGCTGGACTTGGTGGAGTCAAGGGTCAGCTTTGCAGTTAAGCAGCTGTGGAAGGAACTGTGGTACAAAACACAGAAGAGTTTCCCCCCCACTTTGACAGATTTACCTTCTGCATCGTCCAGTGAGAGAAACTGGAGCCTCTTCCTTGGATTATTGTGCTGTAAAGTAGATGTAGCAGCAGTTTCCAGGTCATCGAGGAGTATATCAAACCTACAGAGCAGCAACCACACAGCAATGACTTGTTAGAAATCATGGGTCAGGCAACACAGAATTTCCTACTTTTTCACCTTCTGGTTAAATAAACCATTTGTTTTATAAAACTATTTATATCCCACAGGCACTGCAAGTCTTCTGATTCCTGTTCCTAGCACCATATCCCAATGTTCTCCTATTTGCACACACCAAAACACCTCACTGGCGTGGCTTTCTCTCGGAGCCAGACCAAGCTGTTGCTCCTGAGCACCCTGAGCTCCTGTTTCATCATCCACAGGAACTCTCAGAGTGGTGCTGGACATTTCTTATCCCTCACACTTTCATCTCACAGCAAAGTGTGTTCTCAAAGTCTGTGAGCTTTGCCAAGCAAAGATTTTGATAGAAACCACAGTATTTAGGAAGTTGGCAGAAAGGTAAGTTTATGTATATTTTAACATGCTTGTAGGTACCAGGACAAGCAGATAGGTCCTACTTGCAACTTTTATTTACATCTGATCTGCACCTACTCCACAGAGCAACTCTTCTTTAACTACTTCTCAGTGATCAGTGTTGTGGATCTGACAAACCCCACATCCCTTCTTGCTGTAGGTCAAGGACAGGAAACCACTCCACGTTTTCCTTGCCAGATTTTAAAAAGTCAAACTTCGCTTTATGTTCTGAAATCTTCACATGCCTCATTTCCTAGACCAGAACCAGCAGCATTAAGCCCCTATAAAATGATAATAACAATCTAATAACGATCAGAACCCAACTGTATTCCCCACACTCAGACCTTGTCACTGTGTTTTCGTTCCTGCCGAGCAAGTGGCTGAATCCAGGGGAGAGGTTTTCTTTGGGAGATCGTTTTGGGCTGTACGTCACAGCCACTGGTGCCAACATGATCTCTCTTCTTGCTGCAAAAGACAAATCATGTTTATCTCCCTTCAACCTCCCCGTGCAGAACCTCCCACTCCTGTGCTTACAGAACGCTCTCCAAAGCTGTCTACACGTTTATTTAAATTTGATGGAAAGTGCATCACAACACAGAAAAAGGAAAATAAATCCCATTTGCTGGGATTCCAGGCAGTCCCTTTCTCAGGCTGTCAGTGATGCAGCAATCCTGCCTCTATTTTACTCCCTCCTGTCATTGTCTACTTCGACTTTTCCAGTAAAACAAAGCCAAGTTGAGGAAGGCACTGACTTGGAGTGTTGGATTTCCTGGTGGGAGGAGGAAGGGACGATGATCTCTGGCCCGAAGGGGAGCTGAACCTTTTGGGTCTGTGCTGCTCCTTCCCTTTCTCTGGGGTGGCAGCTAAAGAAGCTTCAACAAACCCAACGGTTTGACGGCGGTTTGATGTTTCTGGTTAAAAGAAAAACAAACGAGTTCTTGTATTAACCCACCTTTTTCAATATGAGAACTCACAAATATTCTCCTGAACAACAATTGGCAAAGGCTGCATTAAAGTCTCCCTCACATCAACATCTTTGTGCTGTTTTGTACAAGTCTCTCTTCTGGTCACAGAACAGTTTAACTTCTGGAAAAGGATCTTTGCAGTGTGGGGGCCTTTCTTTCCTTTTTTTTTTTTTTTTAAAGGAAACAGTGGAAATCAGATAAAAGCATCTTTTGAGAAAGGAGGTTGGACTACCTGCCTGAGCCAAGAGTACAAGCATTGGAGACAGACTGGATGTTTTCTCAGGACAAGGCTCCTAAATCCCTGTTGTTACAACAAGCTCAGTGCATCCCACACATCCCAGCTTCCTTAGGGACATTCCAATCCACCACCACGAAAACAAAACTCCAGTGGATGCACAGCCAGAGCTTTCTCAGAGCTCCAGTAACTGTTTGGAAATACTGAGATATTCTTAGGAAAGAGGAGAAGTCTCCAGTTTGAGAGCCAACAGCAACCTTTGCCTTCCCTCTGTTCTAAACAAACCACCAAACTCTCTAATTTGGAATTTTCTTAGGAAAACCCCAGGAGTTTTGATGCTAACACTGTTTTTAGCCCTTCACTGAAGCCTGATGGAATTGCATGCTGAGAACACCAAAACCAAAAAGACATGCAGACAAAGAAAAGCCAACAAAACACACTCAGAAGTACAAAAATCAGAGTTACTGGCTGGTGGATCTTCTTTCTCTGTCTGTGTCCCCCAGTCTTTAAATACTTTTCCTTCTTCAAGTTCTTTAAAGGCTTTTATAATTGGTGCTTCTGACATCTCATGTTCTTTCTTCTCTGTTGTGTTTGTGGAAGAGTCTTCTTGGGAAGAATCTTTTTCAGGAGGAGAGTGATACCTTAGAGGATGTGAGGCAGTGGAGGGGAGAAAATGATCAAATATTTAATGGAGTGTTTTGTTTTTAAGGAATTGTACAGCACCTACAACACTGAGAATTTCTTTTTTTTTAACTCTGTTTAACAAATACAAAATCTAGAAATAGAAATCTAGTCAATAAAAGTTTTTACAAGGGTTCTCATTTATTCATTTTAGAAGTGTTTCACCTTTCCTCCTGGTGGGTGCTGAAGGAAACCAACTCACCTGGCAGGAATATAGGTATCCTCTAATCTGTTATCTTTGGGGCTTTCCTGGCCTTCCAAAGGCTGCCCAGTGAAGATGGAATATTCTGCTCCTGGTATCAGCCACTTCCTCCTGCTGACATCAGGAGTTCCCAACTTGCTGTGGGAATAAAAAGTTTCAAAAGGCTTTGGAGTTGTTTCTTCTTTTTTTTTCTTAAAGAAAAAGCTGATATTTATTCCAGTAAACAGAAAGAAATATACAGTAAACTTGTAAATACCATGGGAAAAAATAACTGCTTTTTAAAACACGTTTGTAAAGTCAAAGTAAGGTTGAGGTTTCAGCCTAAATTCCACAATCTGCTCAGAATGCAAAGCTCCCCAATGATTTTCCTGTCATTTAATGCTGCTTACTCAGACCAAGGTTTGGGTAACTGCAGTTCCCAACCAATTACACGACATTTGGTGCAGATTATTGCAGCAGTCCAGAGCATCTGAACCCAGCTGTCCTTTGCACACCAAATATTAGACAAAGGAAAAAACAAAACCCAAGAAAAAGCCACCACTGATGATGTGAGGGTGATAAATATTGACTTTTAAGCATCTGTTGGTATATTCTTATCTTGATTTGTCAAAACAATGTGAGTTTTTACACACAGCAAAGTAGATAATTAGAAAAAAAAAAATAAAAGGGTCTTGTTTCCCCAAGCCCTGAACCACAAGCACTATTGTGTAAATTTATCCTGCTGGGCATTCAATTGGAATGAGGCTTTCCCTGAGCCTCTGAGATCACTTAGGGACAGATTAACTTCTAAATCCATGTTGGCTCTTCCTGATGAACATGGTCTGCCCTGCCCAGGGCTTCCTTTTTTCTCTTCATTGGGGAGGGATCTGGTTCAGAAATATTAAAAGAGCTCTGAACAGAAATTTTGTCCCTCTAATATATTAATGCATCGATTACTTGTGTCTTTATAATCATCAGAAAATCATATTTCCCAAAATTAATACACGTGGACATCCATAAATCCCATTAATTATCATTTTGAGCTTCCCAGCATCAGTGCTGAGTGGGACAGACACTGAAGAAACCATAACTGAGTAATAAGAAATCCAAAGGAGGATAAAGTTTTTCAGATCTTTAAAACATTAAAAAAACCATCAAACAAACAAAAAAAAACCAGCAAAGAAACAAAGGAACAAAAGAAGAACCCAGATCAATTTTAATTCTCTTAAAATAAATTCCCAGTTGAGACTAAAGTGTGGATTGTCACTGAACTCCCACCCTGCACTCAGGACACCTGCACAAACTGCATTTGGAGCCATAAAAAGTTGTAATCAGCCTCTCAAATCAACGACACACGTGGGAAACCTCCAAAGTGCCGGCAGATTTAGATTTACTTATGATTTATTTTTATGATTTATTCAATTTTATTCCCAAATCCTTTGTTGAGCGTGGGAACCCCTATTCAGCTGAGCAACTGAGACCCATCTACCACTGCTTTGGGAAGACCAGAGACTCTGGTCAATCAACCCAAGTGCTGATTTGGCTTTCATAATTTCCTGGGAATTGAAGTCTCCAGATTTACGTTCCATGTGTGTTTAATCCACTTTAGCCCATGGACTGACCTCACCTCGACCCACTTTTAGCCAAAACACGTTAAAAAGCACCCCCAAACCCCTGCCCTGTTTTTCCCCACTGCTGGAACGTTCCCTCACCTGGCACAGGAGGTTCTCACCCGGTTCTCGGTGATGTGGCGAAGCTTCAAGGTGTTTTCATGTTCCACCTGCTTGAGCTGAGCCTCGAGTTTTCCAATTGTCCTAAGGGGGAAGCAGAAAAGATGCATTATGAGGTGGTTTCAGTGACACAGAAGACACTTTTTTTTTTTTAATTTATTTTTTTAGTTGACTCATTTTTATTCAGATACCCCGGAGAACAAGAGCAATTCTCCATTTCTGTGTATCTCTGTGTCTATCTAAATGTACATAAAAATATGGATCGGAATTGCAAGTTAAATAACTCAGGTAACCTGGCTAGAAAGACAGGAACAGGAGATTGATGCTGTGGCAGCAGCAGAAGTAGAAAAAAAAACCCCACATCCTAAAATAACAAGATTTTTAGTGTGTATAAGTAACATAAAACAAGAAATGCTTCATAAAATGTAATTAAACTGGCAAGATCTACAGACTTCATGATCTGGGAGCAGATGCTCAGGCCACAGTCTGTATTTCACATTGGTAAATCAGCAATAAGTTTCACAGTTACCTTTTTAAATCAGCAATCTGCACGTTTGCATCGAGCAATCTGTTTTCAGTTGTGTTTAATGTATCCTGCAAGGGCACAGAGAAAAAGAGTAAAAAGCCCAGGAGTGCATGAAAAGAAAAACAAATAACTCCACATTAAATACACCTTCCCATTTCTAAAGGTCCATTCAATCCCTTTGGCTTTGATTTTGCAGGATCTTTGCTGACTGGAAAATAAAACATCCCAAATTCCCCCTCTTCCCTCCAGGGCTCTGCAGGGGGAGCAAGAAGCTCTCAGTAAAAAGAATCACAGATATTTCCATGTGAGGTTTTTGCAAAATGCTTCAGTTAATTCAGCCAGTTCTATGGCCCATTATCCCCCAGTTTGCATGTTTGGTTTTTAATGAACTGCAGGGCACCCACCTTGACTCTTTCATGTTCTTTTCCAAGGGACTCGTATTCTCCTAAAAGCTACAAAACAAAACAAAAGGACACGAAAACTCACTCTGAGACCATCCACAATTATCAGACTGCTGCAAAATCATCCCAACTGCTTGTCTGCCACACTACAGGGGATCCAAAATGTCTTTTAATAGTATTTGTTCAGTTCTTCTTATCATCTTCCAAGTGGAAGAGAAAGTTATAGATGGGCCAAGAGGAGACAGAGCTACTTCCAGAATGTATTTCTAATTTTCAAATCATTTCTCTCTAAAGAAACTGAATGAGCGAACCAGGAAAACTCCTCAGTGACTCTAAAACCCACTTTGTATTTTGAAATCTCAATTGTAAAAAAAAAGAAAAAAAAAAAAAGAAATTAAAGCATGAAGTAGCTTTTCCAGCCAATACCCATTTGGCCAATCCAATTAAACATTCCATAAAGCTATTCCTGAATAATCAGAGGAACAATCCCTTTTGATTCAGCCTAAAACCACCCACAATGAACAGCTTCATCAGAGTTGTGACAAGGTATCAGAAATTTACTCCATCTCCAACGAACTTAAGAGAGGAAAAAAATAACTGTCTAAAATAACCTCACTTACATTCTGAAACATTTTGTTTTCTTCCCTCAGCCTGGTGTTGTTGTTGTCAGATAACTTGTAGGCCTTCTCAAAAGCTTCCTCCAGCTCCCTGAGCCTGGACTGCAGGCGGCTGATGGTGTTGTCCTTCTCCTTGTGGCTCGTCCTCATCTCCTCCAGCCGCTCCTGCAGAGCCTTGGAAGTGCTACTGAGGGCCTGGAAACGCTCCCTCCACTCTGCCTGCAGGAGAGAAAACATCCTTTCAACACCCTTCCCCTGGTAGATTACTTATTTCAGGGCAAAGAGTCACCTGCAATCATCCAAAGAGAAAACGAGGGTGAATTTAATGGGATTTTTTGGCTCATTTCTGTGATGCTTCAAGAATGGAAGTGAAGACTGGAAACCCCAAAGAGGCATTTATTTTAGAGGGGTTATGATATCTCGAGGTGAGGCCTCTGATCTCTGAGGATTGATTTGATTCCCAGCCCAGAAAAACGTGGGAATTGGTCTCTGCAGGCGTCCAGCTGACAGGACAAAGTGTCCTGTGATTTGACATTTATTTATGTCAAATTTATTATTTATGCACAACCAAAGAGGTCTGGCCCGGCCAAAAACATTGTGTAAATATACTTATAACTTATAGAAGTATCTATACTGTATAACTTTACTTCTGCCCTAGCACAGGTGAGATTTGCTTTTGTCACAGCTCGAATAAGAAAGTAATTTAAAAAAAAAATAAATCAATAAATTAGGAAAATTTAGAGAAAAACATGATAGACGCATCACAAGGTTTGACTCGTGAACTGTTTGATCCTTGCTGACCTGGAAAAAAGTTCATGAGTGAAAGTGCTGAGGATTCGGGTAGAGAGTCCAAAGAAACTCAGCTGGGAAAATCAGTGGTGTAACATGCTGGCTGATGTCACATTTTAAGAGAAAAGGTTGAAAATAAAAAGACAAAAGCACAGGAACACAGGTCAGCTCAACAGTGAACAAGCTTTTCTCTTACACTTTTACTAAAAAAGCAACTTGATTGAAGAACACACACTTACCACTTGCTTTTCCAGCAGATTATTCTTATTTTCCAGGGCTTTTATGCGAGCACTGGCTTCATTCAGAGCTGCATCCAGCTGCTCACACCTACTGAGAACACACAGATGACACCAATCTTCAGAAAATAAACCTCCATTTCATAGCCTTCTTTCCTTCCTCGAGCCTCCCCAGGAATTCAAGCTCTAGTAGAATACACATTTTAACACCAAGATACCCAGATTTTCAAGTGTAAAAACACCAAGAAAAGAGGGAGCCAGCGAGGAAGGACAAACAGCACCTGTCAGCAAGGCTTTGGTTGATTTTCCTCAGGTCCTGAGCAGATGGAATTCTCTGCTTTGCCTCCAGCTGCTGCTTCAGGCTCTGGATCTCGGAGTCGTAGTAAGCTCGCAGGTCAGCGACGTGGCGAGCGTGCTTCTCCCTCAGGTTCTGCCTCATCCTGGTTGGAAAATTCAGGATAAAAAGATAAAAAAAAAAAAAATCCAGCTATCCACATGTAATCATTTGGATATCTCACTCAGAATGAATTTGTATACAAATCTCTGTTACAGAACTTTTTTTTCCCCTTCAGATTAAAGCAAAGGAAGTTTTGTCATTTATTAATGCAAAGGTTTCTCTGCCTTAGAAATAGAAATCATGGTTATTACATACAAATAACACAGAAAAACCACAATGCAAAGCTTTGTTTTTCACAAGCTCTCCCACATGGAATGTGTGCAAAGCACGAGGGCTTCAACAGTTGAGGATTTATTTTTCCCAAGTCCAGGAATTCTGTGCTGCTCCCACCATTTGATTTTAAAGAGGAAACCAGAATCCCTCCAGAACTTTGAAATTCTCTGCCTAAATGAACCCCCTCCTGCAGCCCGTGAAGGAAGGATGTGTTTTTATTTTTATATATAAAGAGAAATAACCAAATAAAACCTAGAAAATTGTTTTGCCTTCCAGTTAAGGCTTTGACGTCCAAGGAAGATAAAACACAAATATTGTGCCTTGGAATAAATAGCACGGTCTAAAGAAGACTAAATATTGTGGGCTAAAGAAAATTAATAGGTTGGTTAAAGAAAGACAATTGTAAGAAGTGGAAAATGACTGTTCTATTTGTACCCCAGCTGTATTTTAAGGGGCAAAAGGAGAATTAAAAATGAGAAAAGAAAGCTGTAACGTCCAGCTCTGTTCTAAGCAAACAGAATTCACACGTTTTCTTTGGTTCTCTGCTGGTTTTGTTTGGTTTTTTCCATGAAAGTCACAACTCTGACTTTTTAAAAAAAGGGAAAAATGACTTACTGTGACATTAGCACGGGGTCTTCAACAGGTGCTACTGCAAGGCTGTAATCTGGCCAAGCGCTGTCAGCACCCTGAGCCCCAGGGGATGGAGTTAAAGTCAATGTTTGTTCCTCCTCGGTGCTGACTGAGCCGTCAGGATCAGCCTTTGGGAAGGGGGAGCTGCTCCTGCTTTCCCCTTGGAAAGGGGGATTTCTCCAGAGGTGCAGGGACACAGCTCTGCTGCTGCCAGGGTGGGTGGGACAATCGGCCAACTGAGAAGAACGACTGGTCTGTGAGAAAGAGTCTGTGTCACAATGGCTGGAAAATCCTGGCTCTGCCATGGAGTCTGGAGAAAAGGGAGTGATCTCCTCAGGAATATGGGAGAAACAGCGCCCTCGGCTCTGCTGAGCTGGCTTCATGTGCAGGGTCGGGTCCAACGTCAGGATCTAGGAGAGAAGTCACAACGCTAAAAAAAATTGTGATTTCACTTTTGGGCCTGTAAATGGAGGTGATCTGAAGACACCAGTAAATAATGTAACCCTTCAGGCGTTACACTGAATATTGCTGCAATCATTTGGTAGTGACAAGTAAGAAGGTGCCTGATGAAATGACAAAACACATTCCCAAATTTCTAAGCTTCCGTTAATAAAGGACATATCCAGAAAGCCTTTGAAAACTTCCCTTCTGCAAACAGAAGGTCTATGATCTGTTTGTGTGTTGAAACAATAACTCTGTAGGTTAGAAAAGCACTTGATGAATTATCTAAACAACACAGTCCCACATTAGCCATCATGACTGGATCATGTACAGGACTGAGAGCCGGGTAAAAAAAAAGAGAGATGGTAAAGAATCATTTCCACAACCTGTGCTGTTTCATGGGAAGCACTAAGGAATTCCTGCCTGTGCCCCTGCAGTTCCAGGGCATTCCACGAGCATTCCCAGCACAGGCACAGCCGGCCCTGCCCCATCCTCAGGGTTGTGCTGTGAAGGTTCCTCCTCCCTCGGGGTGTTCTCAGAGGTTCCTCCCAGCTGGATCCTTTCCCGGGCTGGTTCCTCCCTCCAACTGCTGTTCCAGCCGAGCACTGGAGGTGGCAGCAGGGGCCGCTTCATGGGAAACCAGCCCTGGATTCAACAGATCCTCAACTGAGCCGGGAAGTAAAGAAATTCGTGTTACCTCTGGTGGGTGACTCGACTGGGAAGAAGGCAAAACATTCTGGTCTGGCATCTGCTTGTTTTCTCTTTGTCTTTTATGATAAATGTCCTTCAGGGATGACAACTTCCTTTCCTCAGCAGGAGGCAACTTCAACAGGCAAAATTGCTGCGTTACTTTTTTGGAACACAATCCTCCATCCCCAAAATAAATAATAATAATTTTTTTAAAAAAAGCAGCTTTGGGGTGGGTTTAGCTAATAAAGCAGTTCAGGATAGAAGGCAGCTTCATTTAATGCACCCACAGGTTAAAAAAGAGTCTTTAAGGAGGCACCTTTAACACACAAAATGAGTCACTTTTCATGTCCTACACAGTTTCTTCTGAATAACAAAAGGAGGACAATAAATTCCAAGTGAGATTAGTGGGGGTACAGGAATAATGAAGGAGCAGAGGAGGAGAGACTGAGCTAACAAGAGTTCTCACAGAGAAGTTAAATTCTGGAGGGCTGGGTCTTTCCAGCATAGGAAAAAAAAAAGCAAAGATAACAAGGAATTACAGGACAACTTTTAACCACAGACAAAGTTTACCTGATCTGCTGTTACTTTCGTGGAGAAAACATCAGCAAACTCACTTCTGAAATTCTCTGGTAGAGTGTGATACAGCTCCTTTTCATCTGACTTCCAGTATGAAAGTCCTGACAAAGAAGAAACATCAAAATATAAAATAAAAAGATAAATTTCAAGCTCAGGGCTACAGAACAGGAATCCCAAAATCCATTAGTGGAGTGTTATTTTGTCTTCCACGAGAATGCTGTGTTAGTTCTTTGCATCTACTGCTTAACGATCTTATTAGAGCATTTGGTACCAGGAGGGACAAAAATCTCAGTGCAAGGCACAGGCAAGAGAAGCAGCATCACATCACACCACACAGCACCACAGTCACTGATTTCGAGGGGGTAAATCTTCAATTAGCACAGGTTTTTGTATTTCTAATGATTCTAGTGGAGCACTTCAAGCTGGTGTCAGCCAAGGGATGATCCCAGGCAGCCACTGGATATTCCAAACTCCTGGGTTTGGTGTTGGGCAGCACTGTGGGACATGCAGGACACGCTGCCAGGGCTCAGGGGGGCACAAGAGGAACACACAGACACTCAACCCCACTCCAATTCCTTAAATGTGGCCCTCTCTCAGTGGCTGGCGAAGCAGCAATAATTTACACACTTTGCAGGGCTGCATCTCAGTGCCCCTGTTTGGTATTGACAGGAATCCACCCTGTTATGATCAAAATATGGGAATTAGTTGTTTGGCTTTCATCAAAAAAAAAAACAACAACCAAAACTCACAACTCCCAAACTGTGAAAAACCCATCACCAACCACCCCTCCCATCCAGCCCCCAGAGCAACAAAGCCAAACCACAAAAAAGCAATTTAAGAATCCCCAACATTAGCAGGTCAATGATGCTCGTATGTGAAGCATCATTTGAGAGCTGGCCGTGATTTTAATGGTAATTATGTTATGAAACAGTTTTAAACACAAAGCTCAGCTTTGAATCTTGGGAAATTTGGGGGGAAAAAAAACCACATAAAAAACAACTGCTGCATGTCCTACATCTGCCAGCAGTGATACAAAGGAGCTGCAGCAGTTTGAAAACAGGAGCAGGAAAAGCAGATTTATGCTAAATCAAAGCCTGGCAGTGCTTAAATCCTCCTCACCTCCCTGCAGATATTGGAGATGCATTCCAGTCAGAGCACTGAAAAAAATGAGAATTCCAAAGAAAAAGGAAAGACAAGTGCAATAAAATGAACTCTACCTGAAGCTTCAGACACCAAGGAATTGGGACTTTCCTTCGGTTGGTTGAGGTAAAAAGTGTAAGGTGGCAAAGCAGCATCAGTAAGGTTTGTCTGAAATTACAAAGGGAAAACAAATTTATAAGGAAAGTCACAAGGTAAGGAAAAAAAAAAGAAATCAAGGGTGTAGTATTTTTTAAATTGCACATAAATGTTACTGCTCTTTTTAAGCAAAAAAATTGAATGTGATTATACAGCATGACCCAAACCTACATAATTTATATTGAGAGCAATCACAGTTGAAAGGGGAACTAAGATATGCCTCATAATTTAAAAATGTTTATATTTTTATACATATTTATATTTTTTATATATAGATAAATATTCCTATTTTCTATAAAGTGCCTGTGTGCTTGTGGAGCATTTTTGAGATTAGCTGGTGCAGAAATACACATTTGGGACAGTCATCTCAACCTTCTTGTTCCTTAAGAGGTACAAGAGAGATGACTTAATAAAGAGTTACTTCCTCCCTCATCCTAAGATTGGAATTTCACCTATTCAGTTGTTATGACTCCACCTACCCCAAATTTGGAGGTACCACTGTCATCTCAGACAGACAAGATATTCCACATCCTTCTGCTCATCACTCCCAACTTTCCAAACATCCCCAAAGCAAAACTTTGAAAAAAAAATTCACATTATTTAATATTTGACACAACTCTTCTCTTCCTTAACCAAAGGGAGGGGTGGCACTGATAGAACACCAGGGCAGCTGCTTAAAAATTATCATCTCACTTTGCTCTTTTCTGCTCTGCTTGGGGCTTTTTGTTCCATCAGTGCAGCTCAACCCACACACCTCACACAAGTGAGGACTTAACAGGACAGGAACCACTCAGCTAACAAAAGTAACAGAGAAAAAAAAAATCAGAGCTAAAGCTGTTCAAGCTTTTGCAGGAATTACCATCTCACCTCAAGGCTATTTTGCCCCTCTTTAATGTTTTTATTTAGGTATTTCCTTTGCCTAAGGAGGAAGAAAGGACAAGGAAGGAACAGCAACTGCATTCTCACAAAGGAACAGAAAGATAAAGGTTTGGGACACTGAACATGCTGGAAGTAATTCCAAAGCTTCCTAGCTGGAGGGGTGGTGATTGCTCATGTTGCATAACAGACTTTTGGATCAGAAATATTATATGTGATTAAACTTCCCTCCTCAAAATAAATCAGATTTGTGGACACACAGAATTATCAGCTCAAAGGGATGAGAGAGGGGGAACCCAAACTCTTCTCAAAAGAAGTTATTTTGAGCTGATTCAACCTGAGACTCCTGAGAACACTAAAAAAGCCCAAACCAAACTAAACAAACAAACAAAAAAAAAAGCAGTTAAAGCCTTAACACACCAAGAATTTAATGTGCCAAAGGAGGCATCACCAGCTGACAGATCCTTCAGAAAATTACAGGGCACAATAAATTGCCACAACCTGAAGCATCAATTGAGAATGTGGTCATTATGTCCATGAGGAAGCAACATGTGCCACTCAGGGAGGTGTGAGACAAAGATGAATAAAATGAGCCAAAATCACCATGTGCCTGAGTGTGGAACGATGCAAGAAGTCAACTTTGCCCACATGAACTTTAAATAATGAATGGGAATTGCTAAATGCTAAATATGAAAGGATGTGCTGGATGAGAACATGCTGGAACTCTGCAAAAATCCCAGTGACAAGAATGGCATCAGAAAAAGCAGAATAGAATAAAAAGAGGCTTACATTCTCGAGTGGTGGCTTCTTCACTTTCTCATTTTCTTGCATAGAGTTCACACACCCTTCATCTGCAGTTATCCTTTTGGGTTGGTTTTGTTTCAGCTTCTGTGCCCACGACGTTAAAGATTTACTGGATGGTAAGAAACACACATATTTAAGTTATTTCCCCCAACAAATCTGCAACAAATAAACACTGCAGGTGCAAACCTGCATCCCACAGGGACATCAGGCTAAACAAATACATTTAGCTATCAAGCAGCAGAGTTTTTTTACAATCCAGAAGTTCCATTCAATTCTGGCCCATTCCCAGCGACCAAGAGCTGTTTACTCCATGGGAACTGCCCGCAAGAAAGTTTATCACTTACCTGGCTTTCTTCCCACATGGAGCTTCATCAACTTTATGCTCAAATTCGTCAGGAAAAACCAAAATATTGCTCCTTCCTGGCGAACAATTTCCCTCTGTTCTTTTTGGTGAAAGTTCAGCTTTATTTTGAACTCTGGCTACGACCGCGTCACTCTGCGACCCCACCCCGTGCCCGTGTCCTTGGGAAGGCTCCTCCATGGAATCCGTGGCCGTGCCGGGGTTGGGCTCGGATGTGGAGAGGGTTCCGTAGCCGCTGTTGGCGGAGGCGTCGCTGGCTCCACATTCCTGCTGCAGGTGGGTCGTGCCGGGCCGGCTCTCGGCGTCGCTGGATCGCAGGTGATGGGCGATGCTCTCGTGTTCCTCGCACAGCTCGGAGCGCATCCCCATCGGAACCGCCGCCGGTGGGAAAGGGGCTGGGAGCGCGGCGGGCACAGCCCGGCTCTTCCCGGCTCCCCAAGCGACGCTCCCAAACTTCACCAGCTGCCGGATCTCAGCCTGAATCAGCTGCACGGAGGGAAAGGCGGAATTCCCGTGAGGTGGCGGCACCGATCCCACCTCTGTGTTGGCACTTCGGTGCGATCGGTGACGCAATCGGAGCGCTCGTTTCACGAGCAGACACCTCATGCATGGAGGAGAGCGCCACGTACAATGCCCATGGGAACAATCCCTCAGTCCATGCAGTGAATTCCAGGCCTCAGGAATCATTAATTCACGTAAAAACATGCATGAATGTATTCACTGACTGACTGCCTTCAGAACCACAGCTGAAGAAAGACAAACTATCCACAAACGTGGTCTGCTAAATTTGGGTCTAAAGCAGTTTTTAACTTGGATATTGTGTATTTTTAAGGATTGCAAGGACGCCTCACTCGAAGGATTAACCATTCCTCTATTATGCTAATAGGAATAATGGACCTCTGTAAGATTATTTGCACAAAACTTGACTTTAAAACACCCAATTTAGATCCTATGGGACAACACGAAGATCTACATTTGGATTGCTCTGGTGTCTGATGGGATGGAACAATCCTCTGACTGGATCACCCCATTTACCAGGTTACTTAAGCTGCAATGTCTGCAAAGAGTTATTTCAGTGCCCAAGGAGGGTTTTTTTTTTTTCCAAGTTTTCCAGTTGTGCACTGGAAGTGCTGGAACAGCTCTGAGAAACAAGTGATGCCTTTGCCAAGGGCTGTGCAAAGACTGCCATCAGTGCCCATGGAAAGCACTTCCCAGAGTTATCCTGGGATTACTGAACTGCAGGAGCACCCAACTCTTCTCACACATGACAAGAGCAGCCTAGAGGGTTGCTTTCAATGCAATATTTCAAATTAATTATCTCAGGATAAAAGAAAAAAAAAAAAGAAAAAAAGAAAAAAGCCCTTGCAATAATTTTGAGGACAGGACTACAGGACATCCCTCACACGTGAACAGCTGCTGGAAAGCACAAGTTGAACAAAAATCATTTGTTCTCTTAAGGTAAGAAATAAAAAAATAAGAAAATTTCAGAGGAATCTACGTGTAACTCTAGTCAGGACCAAGCCTCAGATGTTTTACTGAACAACTGAATTTCAGCTCTCTATGCCCAAAGCAACAAACAAACAAAAAGCTCGAGGTGAAGTTTTCTTCCATAACGAAGTTTTTTGTTCTGTTAATGATTTCAATCGTGAGTGCAGCAATTGTTTGCACTTTAATTCTGAACTCTGGCAGAAAGGTAGGGAAGGGAGAACAAAAGGGGAAAAAACAGAACTGGAGGGTGAGGAGGGAGATCAGATTCCCTGCTGACATTTCATCTTCGTCATCAATACCCCGGGGTTGGAAAAGTGAAAGGCTACAATTCCAACCAAACTGCATTTTAACTTCTCTTTGCATGGTCACAAAGAATTGCAAGGGATGGAACAACCTGGGGAAAATAAATTAGGTTTTTAAAGTTTGGGGATTGCAGGAAAATTTGGTTTTAAATCCTCTTCAATAAAGTCTGATCTTAGGATGACCCACAGGTGGTGACAGCTCATCTGCTATTGTACAGGTCATACAAAGCAAGGACTGACCCCACTGATTCCAAAAAGAACTCAGGGTTTCTTGATCCCTATTTTCACATGGATGAAGATGTATTTTTATAAGCACAGCTGGTCTTGAAAGCCAGCCCAGAGCAAACCTGCTCTCAGGCATGGCAATGCTGATGCAGCCCTCGCTTTTCTACCCCAAATTGGTTATTTTTTCTGCCTCTTTATTATTCTCAGTAGAATGTGTTGAGTTGCCTGTGTTTTCACAGGTCACTGGGTCACCATTTAAGTTTGGAACAGCTCCATTTACTTTATCTAATGCACCCACAAACTAAGTTGCAGCTGTTGATTTAGTAAATTTAGTAAATTTACTAACTGTTGAGTTAGTAAATCCCTGCTGGCACCACACCCTCAGCTCTTCCAGAGGCAGCCTTTCCTATTTAAAAAAAGGACAACAACCAGCCAAGCCAACACAATGGATTAGTAAAGACCATGATCAGCAACAAGTGAATCAAACCACTGCAGTCAGAGGGAGGAAATAACAAAATAACACAGGTAACAAAACACTGGTGGGAGGAAAATGCCAAGATGGGAGGCACAGGGAGGGGAGGGGATGCAGGAGGAAGAGGATAAAAGGACAGTACCTCTTGTTAATTCAGCTCAGGAACTGCTGATTACTACTAGTGTGGAGGGCACCAGGAAAGGGAAGGGAAAAACAGCAACCAAAATAATGAGGATATTAAGCATTGGATATTTACAGTATTACTGTCTCTAATGCATGCAAAGACATTACTCCTGTTCTAAAGGATAAAAATGTGGTTCAGCCAAAGTGGGAACCTTCACAGGGGTCATTTTTCACTGTTAGAAAGGAGATTGTTCAACTGAAGGGTGAAATAAGTGTTCAGCTCTTACAGGGATGGTTTTCCTATGCTGTGCTGTCTGGATGAGGGGATGACAAGCAGTACAACATTTTCTAATGAAAAGAAAGCTACAGTGGCTCAAAAGCAGAAATTAAACAGTCAAACAGTCAATAAAAACCATCTCACACCTACAGTTATCACGTGGGCATTCTGAACCACACGTTTGTGAAAACAAAACAGCTGAAAACAAAGAACCAACAAACCTCTCCTGAAATGGTTCCTACCAGTGACTCTGTTAATCAGCCAAGGCTGTCTCGAATTCCAGTCATCCACTTCCATTACCTGCCTCTCTGCATTGTTTTGGAGGGAGGAAAGAAACATTTCAGCCTCATCTCCCTGCGGGGCCAAATCATTACTTAAATCATTTCTTACCTGGATCTGATGGTGAAACTGCTCCTGCTGGGCAACTATTTGTTGCTGACATTGTTTTTCCACCAGTCTCAGCAGCTGCAGCCACCTTGTCTATTAAATCACAGAGTAAACCAATTAAAAATACAGTTATGTTGCATCTCTCAACCTCTCCCTGCAGCTACAAATAGCTTTGTAATCCTATATTTAATGCAAAGCTGAGTAACAGCCCCGTGGTTTGCCCACCCCCCTCATCCCTGCAGCCCCCCACGTGTCACTCAGGGCACACTGAAAGAAGAAACAGCTGGCAGGAAAGCCCAGGCAGATTTTGGAAAGGTTGATCCGGATCAATTAATTAATTCAATTCATTAAAGGCAGTTTTAAAATCGAGAATTAAACATCCCTCTGGTCCAGGGAATCATTCACTTCACTAAGAAACTCTGCAGCGATCCAGCTAAAGGCCAGGAAGCACAAATATGCAGTGAAAATAACAAAAAAAAACCACATTATTTATAAAAATCAAATGTATAACATTCCTAAAACATGGCAAAATGTGGTGTTGAAACACTATTTGACGCCAATGTTTATGGAGCCTGGTGCTGGAAGCACAGGACACACACATCAATATTCTGTTCCTGGAGGTGTTAAAGAAAACCCAAATTAAGCATCTGTCAGGAGACTCTGTGATGGATCACAGCCAGAAAGCTCCAAAATTCTGCAGGAACAAGCCCATGGTGTGGCAAATTAATGTTCCTTATGATGACTAAAAATATTGATGATATATAAAATAAAAAAGGGCAAAAAAAAAACATTGGGAAAAGTGTTGGGGAGATTTAGTTCATCAAAAGCCCATCATTGTTTTTGTGCTGCTTTAAACAAACTCATCACCTCCACATCTTTACAAATGGGACATGTAAATAAATCAAGCAAAACAGAACTATTTTTAGAAAGAAAAATTCTAGTTTCTAGGATCACTTCAGCTTGAAGTGCTACAGTTTTAAAGGTTTACATTTTTCAGTTCAAAAGCTGAAAATTGCCATAAAGTCCAGCCAGGTGATCAGTTCACATGTGTCAATGGATCTGCCTCATCAAGAAGAATAAACACATACATGTGTATATAAATCCATATACTACATCATTAGATTTGCCTTCCAAAATGCAAAGAAAATACATTAAATGCAACTTTTCCAGAATAAACCTGAAGATCAGTTACCTCACAGGTCTTCACAATTTCCGTGTCAGCATTTCCAATGTCCTGGATGTCTTGCATAAAGGAGGCAAAGAGCCCAACAGAGCCAGGCTTTAATGAGGGCCTGGAATTCCCTGAGTAACCAGAAACTCCATTGGGATTGGAGGAAGGACTTCTAATGAAACAGGAGGAAAAACAGCTCAATTACTGATTGTGCCACTTGTGCAACACAGTGGCCAAAACAACACACTACATATGCTGGGCAGCCAGGAAAGGAACGGTACTCTTAATTTACACACTGAGACTCTCATCATCTTGGAATAAAAATGATACATTCCCGAGGGGATTTTTCAAGCCAGTGTCAAGGAATTCACTCTCATCCTACACAATCTGAAACTGCGGTAGTTTTCCAAGGATAATCAGCACAGATAATGCTGCTCACTGGTACAAACATCAAAAAAGAGTGGTTTGGGAAGTGCAGGACTGAGGCCTCTTGGAGGAGTGATGTGGGCAGGAGTGACTTGTGTCACCTTAACAGGGCAGTCAAGAACCACCTGTCACTTGGGCCATCAGGCCATTCTTGCACTTCTGATTCCCTGGGAATAAATCAGGCACTGAACAGCAAAACAACTGGGTTTTCCTAAGCTGCTGCTCTCAAAAAATGACTTCACACAAGGCAGGAGCTTCCTAAAAAATGATCTCTTACAGTTTGGCCAGGACAGGCTCCCTCCTTCCTCCCCCATTCTAAGAAACACAAGGCAGTGGAATTTAACTAAGAATTTAGGGAAGAGTTCACAGTTCTTTCAGTAGGGCTTTCCTCTAAAAAGAAAGTAAAAAGAACCCTGAAATACACTGCAATGTTACACATAATTTCACCTTAATAACAACATTGCTGTAAAAACATTCGAACTAAGCAAACCCAAAATAATAAAAATAATTGTTGGGAATTCCTTCAGCACATTACCTGTTACAGTTCGAGTTACAGACAGAGCTGGGGGTGTTCCTGACATCAGAGTCTGCAGAAGATGAGGGGATTTCCTGTACAGGATTCACCACATCCCAGTTTTCCATATCTTGGTCCCCAGTACGTTACCCTGAGAACAGACAGAAACAAGAATCAACTTGTTACCTTAAAAAACCATCTGACTTTTTTGTTTGAAGACACAGAATTAAAGAGACAGTTGCTTTGGCTAAAACACACCCCAGAAAGTGCAAATATTCCACAAGCAGCCCCTCTCCCTTCTCCTGGGCTGCACCTGCACGCAGGAGCTCCTCAGTTAATCTCATGCCTGTTGGGACTCCTGCAGGTCAAAGACACTCCCAATTGTTCAGCACAGCTCTGGAATGGGCAAAACGGTCCAGGTAAAAACAGCCTTGGTGGGGTTTGCTTGGTTGGTTTTTTTTTTTAATCTGAAGCTCCACAGAGCATTTTCAAACCTTCTGTGAGAACACCTTTAAATGCAACTGAGGATCTGCAGCTTCCCTGGGAGAAACACACCCACCCAAAACTACAAACACGAGACCCGCGGAGTTAAATTAAACAAACTGCACTTGACCAACTCTGCCCTTTCTGTGTCCAATATCTGCCTCACTTTCTTCACATATCCCTCGCTTCGTTGTTATTATATAACATTAACGCAGAAAGCTTTGAAACTGTTCTGAGCTGCATCTCTCAGAGATGAATAAAACAAGAAAAAAAAGCAGTCAGACAGGAATCCCACAGCAGTTCAAACCAGCAGCTGGTTAACTGAAAGCACCATAAATAAATAAACACACAATACTCATCGTCTTACAGCTCTCAAAGCAGGGTGGCTGTAGAGAGACTAAAAGATTCTTCTACTCTAAGAAAACACTTGAAATGGATTAATTAATCAGTCCTTACATAGTGCTTATTTCAGCATGTTCTACACCCTGGTGAATTCAGCCCTTGTTCTAACCCTGAAGAAAAACCCCTATGATCATTTCACGGATGGAGAGTGAAAAGAGACATTAGGAAATATCCTGTGATAACTCCAAGAATAAATTCCTGCTGCCTTAAAGCAGCACACCACCTTTAAAACACGACCCTTCCTCTTCACAGGCCTCACAAAGACGTGCTGATGGGTTTTACAGACTCGTGTTTTCCTCATTTTTAAGTGCGCAGAGACATCTCTCTAACAGATAGCTTTGGAAATATAGAATATTTCCACCAGAAGGAAGCTGATGGAGAGCTCCCTGATTTTCCCCTGTTTTCTTGGAGCCTGTTTGGCTCAGCAGAAATGTTTTGGGTTTTTTTTGGGTACTCACTCACACCATCTCCTCTGGGTAGGGCTGAAAACGCCAGAATTCAAAGGAAGTTACCAGAGACACACATATCCCTTTGGCAGAGCTTCTTGGGATACAGAAGGAGGAGAAGAAGGAAAAAAGAAGCCTTTCTTCTTTTTCTAGCGGTCAGAAGCTTGGAAAACTTGGAGGTTATCAGAGCTGGCAGCTAAAGCTGATGCTGGGAGTGTCTGTGGAGCAGCTGGATGTGGGATCAGTCGCCCCCAGCACGGGCGGCCTATCTGAGCAGCACAGCAATGGGTGGGACTTAGCTGTGACACAGGCTCGTTTCATAACCTCATTACAATCAAAAAAAAACATTTCGCGAGCTGTACCGGGGCTGCGGGAGCGCCGAGCCGCCATCCCCCGACCCCGCAGAGCAGCACGGTCCTTATACGGCCACGGCGCTGCATAAAGGGACAGGCTCGGAAAAGAAAAAAAAAAAAAAAAAACACAACACACGAGGGTTTTTTAGCTCTGAAATATCAGCGCCGGTTTGGCCGCAAGCGCCGGAGCCGACACAGCTCCCGAGCCCGGGGGGATCCGCATCGCCCCCTGGGCCAGACCCGCTTCTTTGAGATCCCGCGCAGGTCCCTCAGGGCTCCCGGGGCGCCTCGGTGCCCCCTCGCCGCCAGGCCCCGCGTCCCCAAGGAGCTTCTGCGGGACCCCGCGAGGGGACAGCGGGCCTGGGGCTGCAGTGCCGCGGTGTCCTCAGGAACGGCCCCGGCCCCAAAGGCTTGGCCTCCGCGGGGACCCCTCTCGACACGTCTGCGCCCCGAGGGCCGCCTCCTTTCAGCCCTTGCCCCCTCCCCTGCCCCGTGCGGGCCCCCTGCCCTCCCAAGCGCCGCGTCCCTCCCGCGGTGCCCCCGCGGCCCTCCCGGGTCAGCCCCGCTCCCCTCACGGTCCCTTCCCCATCGCCCCCCTCGGCCAAGCCCCGCCCTCCCACTCCCATTGGGCGGCCGCCCCTCGCGCTCCCCGGTGTTGACAGCGCCGCCGCCTCTGATTGGCTGGTGCTCCCGCCACTCTCCGGGCGAAGGAGCGGGGCGGCGGGGGCGGCTCGGCGGCTCCGGGACGCGGCGCTGGGACGGGGCCAAACCCACCGCGGGCCCGCCCGGTTCCTTACCCGCATCGCTGGGAGCCCGCGGCGCCCGGCCAGCCGCGTGTCGCCGCGGCCGTGAGGCGATGGGAGGCGCGGGCCCTACGGCGCCCGCCCGGAGATCGGCGGCGCCGAGTTTCGAACGGCGGGGAGGGCGGAGGGCGCTCAGGGCCCGAGCGCCGCGCGCCGATTGGCCGCCTCGAGCGCGCGCCGGCCCGCGCCTCCCGCGCTGATTCGCTGCGCACCGGAGCCCGCGCGTCGCCGCGCGAGGATTGGCGCGCGCGGCCTCCCGAGGAGCCCCACTGGCGGGGAAGGGGAGGGAGCGCGGAAAGCCCGCCCTCCGCGCGCAGCGATTGGCTGCTTCATGTGTCAATCAGCTCGACGGCCCCGCCCCTCACTTGCGCCGGGCGCATGCGCGGCGCGGGCGCGGCGGGGCCGGCGGAGGTGAGTGAATTGTCCGGGATTTGTTTCCTCTTTTTTGGGGTCGAACGGCGGAAACAGGTCGAGGGAACGTGAGGTTTTAACCCTGTCCGTGAAGAGTTGTCAGTCCTGCTTTCGAAGCGGGCAGAGCCCTATGACACCTGCTAAATAAAGTAAAGGCTTGTTCCCGGCGTGTATTTTTCGTTGTAAAATTACTAACTTTTTCAGTGGATACCAATAAAAGTTTGCTTAAAAATACTTTCAATTATTTTTAGTATTATTTAATTTTTTCAAGTTATGTTGAACTTCTTATGGATATTTATTCACACGCTGAAGTATTTTCTTCTCCTTTAAGTATAACAGGGTGTACTGTTTTAATTGATTATTGCAGTGACATTTGACAGCAGTAGGACTGGACATTCCTCATTATCCATGAGGCTGTTCAGGTCAGACTCCAAGGTAGAAATAACTCCCCTTCCCTCTCTTTTTTTAATATTTGATATCTTCAGTGTTTTCCAAGTGTTTATTAGGAGTGCTTATTGACTTATTGTTTTCCAGATCCCTTTCAAAAATCATAATCCCAACTATTTGAACAAACCTAATTACGCTAAGAACCGAAATTCCATTCAAAATAGTAAATATTCCAGATTCAGATATCCCTGAAAACAAACCTGATCATGCAAATATTGCCTAAGATGTTCAGCCAGACTGGATCGTGTGAAAACCAGGATTCTCCCAGTAAACTCCTCTCTCCACTTCCATCCCAGAGAATCCTGGATGAATGTTCCAGGTTTCTCTCATTTGCCGTTCTTCCTGAGGGAATTCTCAGCATGGACAGCGTGGGTTTTGAGGAAGCAGCGGCTCTCCCTGCCCAGCATTCCCATGCTCCAGGCAGCCAGGAACTCCCGGGATCTCCTTGGACTCTCCGAGGCAGAACTGGAAGAACAATTCGTCAGAGGGGATGGTCCAGGGGGTCAGGCCACAAATAAGACCAACAACTGTGTTGTCCTGAAGCACATTCCATCTGGGATCGTGGTGAAGGTAACTGTGGTCTGCTTTATTAAGGCACAACTTGCACCAAGACTTTTCCAGAGTAAAGCACAACCACAGTGCTCGTGGCACAGGGAAAGGTTTGTGTTTCTGGGGAAGAATCTGCCAGCAGATAAACAAACTGGGCTTAGGGCTCAGAGCTGATCTTCCTGGCTTTGCCAGGAATTAATTTTCTGGGTTGTAGTTTTAAGGGAAATGAATCTTCCTTGTAGCTGTCACATTCCTGCCCCCCATGGGAGTGAAAGTCTCTTCCTTACCAAGTTGCTCACACTCTGCAGATCCTTTTTCAGCATTTCCTTTACCCACTTCTTGTGAATTAATGCCTTGGAATTAATCTTGGCTTCAGGAGGAGGGGAATTTCTTTGCTCTAATGGCAGGAATGTACAGACTGAGGGGGGAAAGAATAAACAGATTAAAGTTCCACTAAAAATGTCCTGTTGTATTTCTTCAGTGTCACCAAACGAGGTCAGTGGAGAAGAACAGAAAGATTGCCAGAGAAATCATGCAGGAAAAGGTTGATCTTTTCTACAAAGGTGAAGAGAGCGATGTTTATAAAGAGAAAAAAGCAGCAGAGAAGAAGAAGCGGGAGAAAAAGAGAAGAGCAAAGGAAAACCTGGAAAGGAAAAAGCTTTTTAAAGAGATGCAACAGCTGGATAAGAAATAAACACGTGAAACACTGACCTGCCCTGGTGGGGTAAGGGAAATGTTTGTCATGACACCTTTCAGACTAACAGATGATCAGCTGTTCTGCCAAGTTCAGGAGATAAAAGAATTCTTGGTAAAAAAGGGACTGTAAACTTTCCACCCTTCTTAAGGGAGACCAAAAAAAATTCAACAGATTTTCTTCTGCCCAGAAGGAAATCCCACCTTGGGATGCTTTGTAGGAGCTCCTGTAGGTGAGGAAAACAGCACTGAAGGTTCTCACTTCCCATCCTTGCTCAGGCAATGCCTTCAGTGACATAAATCCTTTATAAAGCAGGTTTAGGTACTGGTTGTGCTGATGGAAGTCTCTTCCATCAGCAGTTTCTGGCTGCCTCCTGCAGATGTGTCAGCTGAACAAGTGCTCTGTCCTGCTCAGTTCTGAGGGAAGTTCCAACAGCAGCTTCACAGGGTGGAGGAAGGAGGGTCCCTCCTCAAGTGAGGGCTGAGCAGCTCATCCAAGCTGTGAATTAATTAATTCTTCTTGAAGTTTGCCTCTTAACACTGTATTTTGTTCAGGTATCCATAGGTCTGTGTGTATTAGCCATCCCATTTTCCTTAGGATTCAGGTGGGGGGTTTTTTGATTTATAATAGTGAATTAGTCATTTATTATGTTGATGCCGTGCTGCAGTTAAATTTGGGCACGTTGGCATCTTCAAATGCAGTTGTGTTCCCTTTCTCACCTGCTCTGAAGTCACTACTGAGGTGCAGCTTGCTGGTTTTACCCCGTTAACAACTCCCACCTGCTTACCCAGAACTTCTCTCTCATTTTTGGACAGCATCTTCACCAGCTGCCACCAAGTTCTGGCCTTCACCAAAGACCCAAAGCCAGAGTGTGGATTCTGAAGACAGCAGAGACGGAGAATTCCACCTCCTTTTCCCAGAGACTGAGGGTATCCCAAGGGTGCCACGGATGGAAACTCAGCAGCAAAGCAGCCCCTTCCCCTGCCCTTTCCTCAACTCCTGCGTGAAGGTTCAGCATTTATCTCCTTGACAGTTCTTGACTGTGTGAATTGATTAAAGTGACTGTCCGTAGTTTAAATACAAACTGTTAATGAAAATAAGCTTTATTACGTCAAGTAATAAATACATACAAAGATGCAAATAACAGTTTTAGTAATTTATCCAGAATTTTCCTTTTTTTTTTTTTTTTTTTTTTTTTTTTTTTTTTTTTTTTTTTTTTTTTTTTTTTTTTTTTTTTTTTTTTTTTTTTTTTTTTTTTTTTTTTGGCAAACTTTAAACTGAAGTCTCCAGCCTTAATGTAGGAATTAGCTTTCCAGGACCTTGTTATTATTTAATAGGTTTCCCTATTTTCCATATAGCTCATGCACTTTAAATGGACTTCAAAGCACTAATAGTCATGCAAATGTTTATGCAAAATGAACAAAAAAAAAGGAAAAATAAGAGAAAGGGGAGGTTATTTCTAAGCAGGGTCTATGCTGTATGACAAATTGTGACGTAGCAGACTACTAGGTACAGCATGCTATTCTGCATTTATTAAAAAAATCCTTAGAGCTTCTGTCAAACTTGGAAAGATTGACAGTTTGGGGATAAGTGAATACAGTTGAAGGAAAAAAAAAAACAGAATGAGGCTGTGGCTGGATAAGAAGAGAACTGAAATATAGCCCGGGAGAGAGAGAGCATTCCTCTGCATGCACTTCAGTTTCCATGTTTTAGAAACATCTCAGGGAGTTTTAACATCTTTACAAAATGCAAACCCTCGGTAAGTTGAAAAATCCTTGGTTGGTTTTTCTTTTTTTTTTTTTCTTTTTCTCATTCTTAACTATACATTTTTGCAAGGGCGAAACGAGAAAGGCGAAACATTCAAAATAAAGGAATTTGTGTGAACCTTTCAAGAGTCAAAAGGAATAAGTGTTCCTTTTTCTTCGGGAAGAGAGATGGAAGTTCTTGAATCAGCGGGCTAAGACCTCGCATTTCGTTCCGTCTCGGCCAGGCATTCCCGAACTAATCCTCTGGCATGGATAATGCCTGCAAAACAAATTGACCACGTTTGAAATCATCCCATTCATCATCCCAAACATCAGCTGCTCCTGACCAGGTTTGCCCTCCCAAACTTGCATCGTAAATTGAAAAGGGACTGAAGCAGAGCACAAGAAGATCTGTAGGTCTGCAGTGTGGACCTACTTAAAATCAAAGACTTAGAGGGAAAAAAAAAAAGTCTTGCCTCCCAGTGAGTTATTTTGCTACAGTGCAGTGACACGAATTACAAAGTTATTTGACGAGTCATTGTAGCAAGCTCTGAAAGTCTTGGTGCTTTGGGATAATTCTCCTTGAGGATGCATCAAAATCCAAACCATCATAATGCTGCTTAAAGATAAGTTGTACCTCTGTAAAAATAAGAGATTTTTTTTTTTTTTATGGTGCGTGCAAAAAGTTACCTCCTAACACTGGCTCAGCTCCCAGTGGAAATCATCACCACAATTTACATCTACTCTCATCTGAGAGACAGAATGCGGAATTTTCCACTACAAGTCCTGTTGCCTTGAAGTTCCAGCAATCTGGACCTTGATTCTGGACCTGAATGTAGATTTGTGTTCACAGAGCTGCTGAGAGAACAGAGCTTGAGATAGATTTTAAAATGAGAGATGGACAGGTTTTCCTACAACAAAGGAGGTTATATTTTGCTGACAGGGCAGGATAGAAGGTGATTTCTCTGCTCAATCCTGCTCCTTAACAAGGTGGAGAAAGGGCAGTGAGGTAGTAGCTGGGGTTTAATCTCTAGAGATGATGGCTCCTGTTTCTAAAGGCTGCTAGCCCAGCTCACAGCAACTGCCTCTGCACCAAGGAGGACTCCCTGGGGTTGGTGAGTGCAGGTTCTGCAGAAGTTAAACTGCCTCGACAGGAAAGATGCAGCTGGGGGATCCAGGAGCTCCTACTCACAGCAGGGTGTCAGACCTGGCTGTGGTGGCAGCATGCCCAGTTTATGCAGCAGAACTACTCTGAATAATGTAGAACACCGGGAATTTGGCCAGTTTTGGAGGTCAGTAGGAGCGGGTGGAGCTGGGGACAGGGACTTGGTTCAGGAATAACCTCCCTGGCCATGGAGGCAGCAGTCACGTGCTTCCCCTCAGTCACTTTTGCTCTCCACTTGCACATGCTCCTTCAGCCATCAGGCTCCCAAAATGGAAAGAGAGGTACGTTTGTGACCAAAAGATGGCAGCAAAAAGTATTTATTTGGGATTCTTTGCAACGCAGGCAAGTCACGGTGGCAGCATGGAATCTTAAACCTTCATTAACCAACAAATGAGATACTCGCTTCAAGAAGCAGCAAAACAAACTTTTCCTCCCCAAACTGAACCATCCAGCTCAGAGAGGGTCTGCACCTCCCCTGGTCTCTCTCCAGCTGTCCCCATTAGCCTATTGCCACTCATGATCTATTAATACTGACTCAGGCAATGCAATAAAGAGAGTCTCCAGCAACATTGATTTTAGCTGGGCCAGATTCCACTTACCACTCATCAGCAGACTTTATTGCATCCTTTCCCAGAACAGCTACTAGTCATTTTATTGCATGTCAAGGCAGATATATTGCTCTCTCATAATGGTTGAGCCTTAAATAAAGCTTTGGAGTCTTGGGTAAATGTAAAGGATTTGCAAGGTGCTGAAGTTACTCTGTTCCAATAACATTCCCATTCTGGGTCAAAGGCAGGAGCCAATCTCGGCACAAGGACCATGGGAAGGGAGGAAAAGGTAACCACGTTATGCTGGCAAAGGACTGAACTGGCAGCACAACTGTTGGAATGTCCCACTGCTCCTTCAGAAATATCCCTGCCCGTTCCCTGCAGAGGACAATGTCAGGCTGATGTCACCAGTGGGGCACGCGGGGGTTCTTTTACACTGCAAGGAAAGGGCATTTATGACCCCTTTTAGCTGACAAAGCAAAGCCACAGACACTCATCAGCCAGCCCTAAAAGCTTCTCTGGCCCTTTCTAGTGGACTCTTAATGACACCACAACCACTTGACAGCAGGTAACAGAAGGTTTCTGTTTGACATCTCGGTCTGAACAGCCTTCCCTGACACCTTCCCTCCACCAGCCCCTGGGAATTTCCACAAGGTTGGATTTCTTTAGGCAAAATGCACTTCAGTGGAGATTCCTGGGCCAAGCAGGTGGGAGATGTGTATGAGAAGAAGTAAACAATGCTTGGCTGTGTATTTTGGAGACTGGGGAGAGAGAAAAGGGAATTGAAGGGACAAGTCAGCAGGAGCCTGAAAGAATGTATCCATTAAGGGTTCCACAGTAGGGTTTGAATTATTAACTGGAACACTCTGTGTACACGTGAAACACATTTTGTCACTATTTATCTATCAAATGCAGCACAGCCAGAGCATCCCAAGGTTCCAGCTGCTGGTTACTACTCCTAGTTCCACGAGGAGCTCAGGCTGTCTCCTCTCCAAGGACGCAGTTGTCATGCAGTTGGACACACAAGCATCAGTGCACAAAGTATAGGGGGCACGATGATTGTTTTAAAATAAGTTTAAAAGTTACCTCTTTTTAGCCTCTCCATCGCACTTTTGCTCCCAGCATATGTAGGTCTAATCTCTTTTCCTAATTCTTCTATGATAGCTAGAAGCTCTGCATATTTGCTCTGTGGGACTTGAGTGCTGCTGGTACCCTGTGATTGAAAGGAGATTAATCTCAATCAAATACTGTGAAAACAAAACAATCACAAAAAACAGCAACTGTTATCCCTGTTCCTGCTTTTTCAGTGCTGAGGTGTGTGTTTTGGGGAGAAGTGAGCTGGGCAGGGAGGGCGAGAAGAAAACTGTACAGAAATATTCATTTTTTAACAAATAACTTTAAAATGTGTTAAGAGCCCTCACTACCATAATTCAAGACATGTTTCTCCGTGACTCACACAGGATGGGACTAACAGTTAATTAGTAACAACCTCCCTCAGCACTCTGCTTAGTCTAATTTGATCCCCAGCCATGTGTGAGGAAGCAGCGCTGCCATTTGGGTTTGATTTCAGCCCTTGGTGGGAGGGAGGAACACCTCAGATTACAGGCCACAGTCCCTGCTCCTGTGCAAACAGTGGGGGCAGTGATCTGATTGAAGGCAAAGAAGCAGAGCTGTACCTGCATCCCCTGTGTGTAGCCTAGAGAGGGGGGGCCATAGTCATTCAGGAGCTGTCTGTACTGTGCAGTCGTTGCCATGCTCGTGGAGGGAGAGTGAACACTCCCCGCTGTAGAGAGAAAAGAGAAAACTATTATTATCCAAAGATCAATTAGACTGTTACACTAGAACACGTTTTAATCACTTGTTTCTAAAGCTGTGACCTCTCACCTTTGGCTGGGATCACTAATGCCATTTCTGAGTGGCACTGCAAGGAAGGGAACGGTTAAATTGATGCCTCTCTCAGGTTTGCTGCACGCTGGGAAACAGCACAGCCTGCAACACTATCAGTGCAAACTGTTTGCCTAAAAGTGAAGCCGAGTGTAGCATGACAGGTTGTTCTGCCCAGACAAACTGTAAATATTAAGGAGCCCTATTTTTGCATATATACATTCCACACAGATGAGTCTGATGTACTGGGCTATTTTTACTTTTTCAGTGCAAGTTATCTGAAAGTAATTTTGCAACTCAAAGTGTCATCACATGGTCAAAGCAAGTTACCCTCAGTACTATTTTCAGCCGGTGCCAGAACCATTCCTAGGGAACAGTCAGTTGAGGTGGATCAGATCTGCTGCTCATTGTGTCACACCAGAGCCGAGCAGTGCTGCCATTACTCCTCTTTGTGTGATAGTAAATGTTTTTAGCCAGGCAAATTAGGCTATATAAGCAAATCAAAGGAAAAACAACATCACTTTGGGTTACTTTTTCTGAAGTTATAAAACATTCTATTCACATCTTGTGAGTTTTGAATCAGGAGTTGCAGAACCAGCCTCGTGTTCATTGACAAACTGCTTCAGAAACCAAACACTTCTGCCCTTTGCCGTGCCATGGGAAGAATTTGGGGCTGAGAAACAACTTTCAGATTTTTCTTAGGGGTGTTAATTATGCCCATATCCCAACTGTGCTGGACTTCCACTCAGGAGCAAGGGAGCACCACAGCACTGAACTCCTTCCCTCCTGCGGCTCCCCTGCCCTTGCATCCAGGGATGCTGCTGCCTTTGCCTGTAGGCACAGACACAGACTGCCTGCTGTCTGGAAAAATCTCCCCCCTCCCCTCACAAACTCCTCTGCTGAAAATTCCCAACTGCCTTTCATAAGAGGAACAGATCTCATTTGCCAGCCTTCATTTAAATCTAAATTAAACTGATGCTAAAAGTCACTGGGGCTCAGTGCTATGTAAATCTCTAGCTTTGTTTTAAAGTTGCAAGTGATTTCATTCCTGTTTTCCCCTCGCTACAAAAAGAAAGGGCCAGCAGTTACTCTGTAGAGAGCTCTGATCACAGTGAATAGAATCTTGCCCTCAGCTAGGAAGTCTCCTTCCATTTAAGAATTACCACAGGATATTACTGGGGTGTTTTCTTCATTACAAGAAAAGAGTGTGTTAATTTTTACTTATTAACCAGACATGAAATCCCCCTCAAAAAGGCAAATTGGGCTGGTCACTAGGTCACCTAAAAGAAGAAGGTTCCTCTGCCTTTAACTGAGCTGCTTAATTTTATAGCAATTCCAGACCTGCATTTTCGTTGCTGAGGTTTCACATGGAGCTAATTTTGCTTGAGCACAGTAAAAGCCCCAAAAAACTGAACACCACACCCACAGAGCAGGGCACTGGGAAGGAACAGCACAGTTGTCAGCTACTCTCTCAGTTAGTTCTTCGCATTATCAGCTCAAAATACACACACCAGTGTAAGATTTCTGTGCGTGCAACTCCGAATTTCAAGTCCAGATGACTGAATTTGAACAGTTCCCAAGCATGGCACAACAACAAACCGCGTCTTTTTTCTCCTAGGACTTCAAAATGCTTCAAAAAAAAAAAAAGTAATGAGCTTCTGGTGCTGCAAGGTAAGAAGGTTTAATTACCTCAATTAAGCAGAGAAAGGCTTAAGCGATTTTTCCTCACCTACAATAAAGCAAAAGACCCATCCTGCAAAGACTTGTTCCCAAAGTGCTGTTGGAAGCAGTCACATCTAAGACCTGGGAGCTCCAATCGACAGGAACTGTGCTCTACCCACCCAGCAAAGCTGAGCTGCAGCCCAGGCAAAACAAAGAGCAACTGATTGATCCCATATTGGTTAATGATAACACGCTGATGGACGGCATCAGGAAAAGGTTCTTCCCCCAGAGGGTGGTTGGCATTGAACACGCTTCCCAGGGCAGTGGGCACAGCACCAAGGCTGGCTGAGCTCAGGAAGCTCAGACATTTGGACAAGGCTCTCAGGCACAGGGTGGGGTTGTTGGGGTGAGTTGTGTCACTGTTCCTGGTTTTCCTTTGCTGTCTGTGAAATGGGGTGGCAGCTGAGCCCTGCAGATGTCTGTGTAGGGCCAGGATTTGCACTCGATGATCCTGATGGACCCACCTCAGCCTATTTATGATTTTATGATAATACAGTCCAGTTAATTTAGTGACTGTTTCAGGTTCCATTTAAGCAACGGCACGAGCTTGGTCTGTAGGAAATAACACAGCAGGGTACGCCTGGGTTAGAGAGAAACCCTGAAAGAAATGTGGTGTGCCAGGACAAAGCCGTGAGCGGATCCAGGGGCCGAGCAACAAAGTTCCCCAGATGCGGGGCCGACCGAGGAAGTTTCCCAGCTGTGCAAGGCGGGACAGCGCCGGGCTGGTGCCGGCACGGGGAGCGCGAATGCAGCGGGGAGTGAGACAACACCGAGGGGCAAAAACTACCAGGAATTGCCGAGGCTGAGCGAGCTGCTGCGAGCCGAGGTGGCTGTGTCTCCAGGAGAGCGCAGGAGCCGGGGCTGTGCCGTGGCCGGCGCTGCAGAGCTGTGCTGCAGACACTAGAGGCCATCGCCGAGTGCGCCGTGCCCTGCCAAGTGACAGAGCGTGGTAACCATGGTGAGTTTACCCGTTTCTTTGCAGTCTGCATCAAAAATGTAATAAGACATAATGCCATGCGCCGACCACTTTATCAGCAGCAGCAGCAGGCCCCGAGAACAAAGGAAAGGATTTGGCTTGGCCGCAGCGCCAGCCTCTCCACGCGGCCGTGGCAGAAGTTGTGCCAGTCAAAGTCGGCCGGAGGAGGGGGGGAAAGGCAAAATCCTTGATTTCACCTCAGTTTAAGATGATGCAATCACGCAAATGAAATTAATTGGGGGGATATTAGTATCTCGCAGGGCAACAGACCCTGAGCTTTTTGACCTATCACTTTGTGTGTTAATCTCGAGGAGAAGCCCTGGCTCTTGGCTGACTATTACTCAATTAACCCAAAATTCAGCGGCATGTCTGAACAGCCTGCATTTCTCGGCTTAAAAAATAAATAAATAAATAAATCACCAGATACCGCTATTATAGCTAGAAAGAAAAATTAGGCCAGGAAGTCTGACAGTCAATAGCCAGTCAAAAATCAGTGTGATGATTAGGTATTCACTGGAGAGAAAAAAAAGAAGGGGGGATCTAAATCGAGGTTTGCTCTCTCACGTTAAAATGACAATAGAGACAGTTAAGAACTGACAGAATAGAAAAGGGAGTGGGCTTGGTACTGAATTTCACTGACACCCTCTACCACATCCCAAATTGTCTTAGTGCTTGCTGTTGTTTAAAACCTAAATTAATATACATACTTTCCTCCCTCCACTTTCCTTATTAAATGTAGACAAAACCTTGTGGATCCCCATTTATTCTTGTACCAACAATGTCTTTTATTTCTGTATTCAAGCAGAAGACTGCCACAAGCATTTTTCCCACAAAAATACAGTGACTTTCTTGCTAATCAATATTAATATTTATTAATTGAGGGGAGGTACAGCAAATAGAAATGAGATTTTGGTATACAAATCTCTTCTTTCCAGCACTCTCTCTGAGCCCAAATTAACACTCTGAGAGACAAAGGATCTCAAATCAATCTTTGTTTGCCTAAACTCCCACTGACCAGGAATCTTGTCATTAATTGCTGATAGGTTTGTAGGGGTCCCTTTAGCTCCTTTGCTACTGTCTCCAAGCCTAAACAATGCTGATCAATTTGCTGATCCAAGTTTTAATTCTTAATTCTCTTACTGCTGCTTGCTGGGAGAATAACTGGGAAGGCACCTTGCTGAGCACCCTGCAAGGAAGCAGCAGGAGCGGGAACACCAGGACACACTCACCTGATCCATCAGATGCATCTACACCCCTCAGCTACCACCCCTGTTTCACAGACAGCAAAGGAAAACCAGGAACAGTGACACAACTCACCGAGTTACTCATGGAAAGCTGACTGAGACAAGCCAAGGGCCAATCCCCCTGGATGGTGTTTCTCTACTACCCTGTGCTTTGTAAGGTCCTGTAGAACTGCAAACTGCCATTTCACAGACTCGTTCCCCACACGAACATGACAGCGTGGAAGGAGATGCACCCGTACCTGGAGTTTCTCTGAGGAACCTGGCACAGCCTGTGGAATCTCAACACTTCCCCCTGTGTTTCACAGACCCTTCAAGCTGAGGTTGTTTGCAACCCCCAGGCTGTTGCCATTCTGGTGGCTCATGGCTTATACAGCCCTGCATAGCCCAGTGCTGGAGGTCACTGCCACTGCCACTGCCACTGCCACTGCCACTGCCACACCTGGGGCACTTCATCTGCTTGGGCTGATGGCAGCTGGATTCCTGACCTTGTGGGGGATGGAATAGTTTAACTGAGAGGATATAAATTAATCTCTCCTAAACTGCACAACTTTCTGAGGAAACACACGAGAAACGTTCCTGTGATCTGCTCTGACAGGGCACACTGTGAGGCATCCTGGAGCAGCAGGCAGAGGTAAGAGCCTCCCCCAGCAGAGCCGTGCCTGCAGTGCAGATCCCAGCACAGCTGGAGTGCTCTGGCTGACTGCAGGAATATTTGATTCCCGAGCCCTCCACGCACTTTGGTGTAAGTTCAACAAGAGCTCCTCGCCATCCATGGACACCACATGTCTGCACAAGCAGATCCACTGCACAGCCAAGCCACACACTGAAGTCTAACAGGAGCTGCCAACCCAGAGTGCAAACACACAGCCCCCATTTCCCCCTGCCTTCTCGTAAATTTTTTAATTTAAAATAATGGACCCTGTTCTCATTTGCACAAAACATTCCTTATAGCGCTAG